AAAAATATGTATGAAGTATATTTTCATATGTACCGATATTTAGCTTAATGGTTAGTAATCTTTACCCCTAAAAAGCAGTTACGTAATTTTTGAGTTTAAATTTCTCCGGATAAAGTACTACGTTAAAAATGAAGTTTATACTTCTTAAACTTCGTAAAACTACTGTATTTTGAAAATCTACATAAATCATTTCTTTAGATTATGATATTAATCTTACAAAATAATATATGCAACTTACTTGTAGCGTTATTTATGCTCAAAAAAGGAAGAATTTTTTTTTTTTTATTTTCTTATATCGTCATTTTGAATTTATTCTTGCTCGTTCCAAGTATTTATCAAAGCAAATTTTTTTTAAGTTTATCGAAATTTCGAATAAATATCGTATCGTACAATCAACAATTAAAGCGATAAACAAAAAAAAAATTTTTTTTAATTAATAATACTATTTATACTGTTATTAAAAATACATTAATCCAGACAGAACTTTTTTGGAAGAATATTCGTGAATGGTTAAGTTGATAACGATAACAACGCCATCCCGGGTCATCGAATAGCAATAGCCATGACTTGATTAAGTAAGTTACGTAGTATATCGATATATCTTTTTTACATATCGATATACAGTTTAGTATAAGAGAAATTTCTGGTTACCGAGATGATCTTGTGATCAACTTTGAGTCACCTGAGTTTGCAAGTTTAGATTCTGGTTAACGCTAAACACTAAACTCAGTCGATTCGGAGTTGATCACATGTGGCTAATCAAGTAACGGGTACAGGATCATATTTGAGTTTGAAAAAGAATTTTAAAACTAAAAAAAAAAAACAAAAATTAGTAAAATATCAAAAAGCATTACCGGTATGTTACGTAGTTATTATCAATATATTATTTTAATAAGATAACAAGATTTCACTTTGTCTTGTTTGTTAACATTGTGTGATAAATATAAATATAATTTTTAGATATGAAGACAATTTCATCATTGTCAGATATTTTAGTAATATTAAAATGAAAATTATAAGAGTAATTTATGCGTAAAACTAATATTGTTGCAGGTTTTAGGTGCATAATAAACGCTTAGTTCACCCTACTGGTTAATCTTCTTAAGCAAGATTCTACGTACGTACTGTATTGTTTGATCAACCTGCGACAATAGGGGCGATCCTTTTTTTTACTATCCTTACAAAAAAAAAGGTAATTAAAGTTAAGTACACACCCTACAAGAAGTTTGTAAGACTCCAAACGTGGAAATTGAGATGTATTTTGGGGTAAATAATACTGTATGAAATGGGCCTTATTATATATTACCAAATGAAATAATTTGTGTTTGTCAAACTAGGCGCTGATGCAGGGTGATGGTCTTAATCAGAAAAAATATATATATATCATATTCTAAAACATTTTTTTTTTAAAAAAAAAACAAAAAAAATTTTTTTTTAATTTTATAAAAATTTTTATTTACCTTATTTTATATTTTAGAGAATAACTAGAGGAATAATCAACTAATATGATTCTTTCAATATTATTGTCGTTGCTGCTAATCTCAAATAGCATATATTTCAGCGAAATAAATGTATTAGCAGACACTAATAATTGTAATACCAATAGAGCAAACGATCCATGCGTTATGGCAAATGCTTCATTGAGACCTTGTGGCTCAAGTGTTCCTAAACCTTCAACAACTTCATCGACTACAGAATTACATATTAATAGTATGTACTAATAATTTGATTATTTTTAATTAATCATTTTGTTGTGGTAAATTTTTCGCATTAAAATATATATATATATATATATTATAATTATAGAGGCAAACGTAACGAGTTGTGCTTGTAATCAAGCATTCTACAATATTTTGTCATCATGTGCAGCATGTATGGCGTCTACAAGCGGTTCAGATGTTCATGTTAGAGATTTGTCAGATTATAAAAAGGATTGTACTAATTTGGGTGCTGTATTTGATGAAAATGCGTATGTCTTATTCTTGAATTATTATTATTTATTTGAACTGTTTATAATTTATAATTCATATAATTTTAATTATTTATTATATTCATATTATTATCATTTAGTCCCGTACCTACAAGCGGTTCAAGTTCAAATTTTGTTTTAATAATAGTATTTGTAATTATTGCAATTATTGCAGTTGCAATTGTAGCATCACTTGTAATTTGTCAACTTTGTAGACGAAAAAGACAAAAAAATCAAAATGCAGCGGCAGCATTTAATGAGATAATACTCCCTGATAGTCATTACACAGGTGCTCAAAATCGATATTCAATTCCACAATCAAATGTTGGTTATTCTTCAGCTCCACCTCCTCGATATTATTAATAAGTAAATGAGTTTTTAGTTCATTGTATGAACTTTTTTCTCATATACGAGTATGAGGTAGAAGGTGGATAAAAATATATTGTCAGTAACAATTATTGCATAGACATCTAAAATTATTTAATTTTAATATGTAATTAACTTTTTTTTTTTAAAAAAAAAAAAAGACCATAAAATATCGTCATTAGCAATATTGTGAGAGCATTAAAATGTAAAATGAGGAAAAAAAAACTTTTATTTATTAAAAATATTTGTAAATACAATAACTGTTTATCTTGGTGAAAATAATTATCATAATTTATATTATTCATCGGTATGATTTTGAGAGATTATTATATTTATCATGATTTATCGGTGTTTGTACGCGTCCAAACGTCTGCCACTTTACACGTATTCGCGTACATAAAAAAAATACAATGAACTAAAAATTACTGTACTGTACAATTAATTATCATTACACAAAGAATTATTACAGGCAACCTTTTTTAGGATCCTCATACTGTAGTTAATATTCGCAAATAAAAAAATAAAAAAGATGACGCGCCCAAAATTAAAAAAAAATTTTACTAATATAATATGTATCCAATAAAATCACGAAATGATAAAACATAATAAAAATAATTAGGGCCGTCAATTTCTTACTTGAATAAGTTTGAATAGGTTGCACAAAAAAATACCAATAACTTAAAAATAACAGCTTTATTCAATATATTAAGTAAAAATGATTAACATTCAATTTTGCAGGAAGTTATACAAAATTTATAGATATGCTTGGAGATGAACATGAAAGAAAACATCAAAACGATTTTCACATGATCAACATAACCGTATTCTAATTCCGATTATGCTGATCATGTAAAATCAAGAGGGACTACAAAATTTTTGGGGAGCATTATCGTTATCGTTATTACCCGAATTATTAAAAAAAAAAAAAAAAGCATTCTTATTTATCGTGTATAATAACAGGTTATGTCTTTTTTCGCATTTTCACGTAAATCAAGATGAACTATTAATATATTCTATTAATTCACCACAGTTTTTCCCGAGTTGATTCACTATTTATTCCCTGGCACGGCGGAAATAATGAATTATTTTCTCGGATTTTTTTCGGAGCCGAGGAGAAAAATCCGGAGGCTATTTCCCAACTGAGTTTAAAATTAAGCCTTGCAAAAAATAACACGTAAATTTCCTTTAAAAAAAAAAACTAGTAAAACGTGGAATTACGAATATTAAATGAGGATCCATTACGTTAATTTTTTATTTAAAAAGGTTAAAAAAAGTTTAGAATTAAAATCATTAAATTAACAACGGTAGATCCTTCGGAAACCGGTCAAGTTGGCCTACATTAGGTTAAATTAGGTTAGCGTTAAGATAGTGTTGATTATAGATCCGATCAATTTTTTTCGGAATTTTGACCCAATCCCAGACTCTTCATACTGTCATATAGGATTTACAGCTGCTATCCAAAGTATTTTTTTTTTATTTGATAAATAATTATATTTAGGGATAAAATTATGTTTCATGGTAATTTTGACCAGTAATACATATTTCAAAATTTATTTATTGACAAATATATATATTATTTAACTAACCAGTCCGATTGGTTTCGAGCACTAACATCTTTTTCTATTTTTTTTGGCCTAACCTTTTTTTTTTTTTTTTTTTTTTGATTTATTGTTATTTATCATGGTACATTCTCTGTACAAATACATAAATACATCAGTGTAGAAAATAAATCGGCAAATATATAATAGAAACAGAAATTGTTATTTTATAATTCATAGCTCAACTATGAAGATGGATATATTTGCCGATTTCTGAAAATATATTTCAAAGAACTTATATTCATTAAAAATTCATTAAATTATACTAACTAAAAATTTTGATAATTAATTTCATTAAAAGGCGTTTCTAGGACATCTCACCCAAATTATCTATCAATATTTACAATTTATACAATTTATTGATTTTGTTCTAAGTTAACTCTTATTTCAGTTTGCCCAGTAAAACCAGTCTATGAGGCTGTAAAAAAAAAAGAATAAATTAGTTACAAACTAAATACTTAATAATAATAATAATAATAATAATGAGATTGAAAAATAATGTTGATAAATACGTACATTCTAAAATCTTCATCTTTTGGGATAAGACATTTATTCATATTTGAAATACGTTGATATGCTGCTGCTGTTTGCAATTTCTGAATGTCTGATTTAAAAAAAAATAAAAAAATAAAGATAAGAAAATACGCAAATTTTAAAATTTGACAAAAATAGATAATTATACAATTTAAAAAAAAAAACCTACGATTGTTGGTCGGAAATAACCACTCCCTAGATTCCCTAAAATTTTCATAATAAATTTCAGGACTTTGTTTGCTCAATGTAAAAATACAGGATTCTCTTTGTTTATTCCCTGCAGAATTTAATATCACAACAGAGCTTTGTTTATTTTCTAAGACATGCGAAATTAATGAGTTACGTGGTGGACTACTCTGTGAACTTGTACGAGGTGAATTGACATGACGATCACCAGCGGTTCTTGAATCTGGTTTATTTGTAAGATCATGAGATCCATTTCGTGAATTTTGTAATTGTAATAAACCTGATTTGACTAAAAAATTTTATTAAGTACGTATTAACGTTAACGTTAACGTTAAATATTGTTAGATAAACTTTTGAATCATAATTTGTACTAATACTTACTCTCGTTGACATCAGTTTTATTATTCAACATTGGAATTAATCTGCTAATATACTTTGCTTTCCTATGAGGCATAATACGTTGTCTTTCCTGGTACAAAACCCTTCGTATCCCTCCGTTTCCTTTGATCCCAACCTCGAGTCCTATTTCACAAAATTCACCACTTATTCCATTCATTCCACTTTCACAAATCATTTCATTTAAAACTTTTTCAATAACTTCAATACTTGGTCTGTTTAAAGGATCTGAATCCAAACATGAAGAGATCAGTTTTTTATATTCAGTTGGCATATCTTCAATCATAATAGGTCTTAAATTATTGTTAACGATTTCTTTTTGTAAATCATTATCATGAGGACGTTCAATAAATGGTCTTTGACCTGACCATATTTGCCATATGATCATACCAAGAGAATAAATATTCGAAGATTTTGTATAAGTTCCAGATACTAAAGTTTCCGGTGCTAAATATGGCATTACTCCAAATATATTATTATTAAGATTCGTAGATTTTGATTCTGTTGGACTCGAATTAGTGCGTCTACGGAAGGTTAATTTTATTGGTTCAGATGAGCGTCTAATTTTGGCAGGGTCAACGGGTTTACATAGACCAGTATCTCCTATATAAGCATCACCATTTTCATCAATAAGGATATTTCCAGAGTGCAAATTTTTATGAATTAAACCTGATTCATGGATCTCTTTAAGACCACCAACAATTTGAGAAATAAGTTTATGGGATTGTGGAAACGTAGTATAAGGAAGGCGAGAAAGGTATGTTTGTAAATCATATTGAGAACAATGTTGAAAAACCATCATGAATTCATGTGTCTTTGGATCACGTGTTATTCCATAACACCGCAGGAGGCCGGAAATTGTATAAGTGTTGTTTGATGGGATGTGTCTACTAAGTATTCTCAACTACGTATTACATATTAAAAAGTTAATTAACGTTAATTGATGTTTTGAGAATTAATGTACGTAGTACGTTATCCGGATATGTAATAACCGTTAACGTTAATTTTAACATAACAGATAACGCATTTCAGCATTTAGATATACATACCTCTTCAAAAAATTGAGACTTAACATTTTGAGAACCCGATAATGATTTTAACGTAACCTTTTTCGGCCCACTCCGTTCCCATTTCGGCATTTGTGGATCCTGCGCCCCATCCTTATATTCAAAGACTGGAGGTCCATCCCGTGGACCATCAATCCATTCAGCCTCCCAAACCGTTGAAAAGCCACCTTTTCCAATATATTTAATATTTTGGAATTTTTCATAAGGAATATATTCAATAAATGAAAAAATTGAACCTGCATTCGCTTGAATGCTCTTAATAACTAGATCAATGTCTTGATTTTGGCATGTCCATTTAGGATAGAAAGTTTGATAAGCATAGAATTCACATTGGCGACACCAATTATAATAAAATCGAGGTAATGAGCACTTAGGGCATTTGCCAAATTTTGAGGATGAAGATTGCGGTGTTGACATATTTATCGTTATATAGTAAGTAATGGTTTTTTTTCGGTTAATTTTAAAAGATTCTTCAAGAATCAAAAAAAAATTTAAATTTAAATTTAAATGAAGGAATAATATTATATATATCTATATATATAATTTATTTTTTTTAAAGGAGTGAAAAACAAATGATACCGATTCAAGTTAAGTGAATCTAAGTACCAATAGTATTAATTAGGGTAAAGGAACGAAAAGATCTTGCACTGCAAGAAGTTTAGTAAGGGGAATCAGGGAGTACTCAATCACAGATAAAAATGGAATAAGCAAAGTCAGAACTATATTTATAATCGCCATAGGTAAAATTTAGAGTATGTACGTCTTTGTTTTATCAAAAAAAATAGTAATTAATGCGAATATAAACAATAAACATATCATAATCGGCTTAAAGTACGTACAAACATTTATCATCTTACGATGCCTTAAAGAGTAACACAATGAGTGTTCAATAATTATTCGATATATAGGAATAAAGGATTGATTATAACAGATAAAGTAAATTTACTTATGGGGATAGATATGTATGTGCAGTACATATGTCTTTACAACGATTAAATAAATGCTCGTGGGGTAATTACCAATAAAGTTATACTTTCTAATTATTATTAAATTCTGTATTACCAAAGTAAATGATGTTGAAAAGTAATTAGCAATACCAATAGTTAACGTTAACCCCTAAATAAATAAAACTGTTATAAATTGAATTTATAAATATCATAAAATTTAATTTTAAGTTTCTTATTTCGTTTTTAAAAAAAACAAGGGAGGACTTTAA